TTGGTAGGGCTTATATTTTCAAATCGAGACCCCTAAATTTCACCATCATCCGATTTCACGATCATCCGCGACAATTAATATTTCAAAATATTTGATTAAAATTTACAAAGCAGGATACACCCTTTGTGATCTTTAATGTAGCAATATTTTTCAGCATGAAGAAACATGGCTTGGTTCATTAGAATCATATATTGCAAATTTGGGATTGTCTTGAAAGAACGAATACATGTTAAAAAATAAAATTTATAGAGTTATATCTTATATTGCCTGAGGTCTTATTAGATCAGGAATATACATCAGCAACCAATATATATAGTTTTGGTATTATCATGGCAGAAATGATACTAAAATGCGTCCCTTTTATGGGCATACATTTGATTTATGAACTTACATTAGAAATTGGCAGTGGAAAAAGACCAGATTTTGCTCCAGAAACCCCTAAATATTATATTGAATTGGCAAAATTATGCATACATAACAACGACCTACTGCTAAAACAATTCATTCTAAGCTTTCTGAATGGTATAGCTTTATAAACCGATCAGGTGAGCCTGATTATGAATCTGATAAACTTGTTGAATCTGATGAATTTGATGATAATCAATGAATTTGATGATACTGATGAATCCAATGAATTTGATGAAAAATCCAAAATCCAAAGTGAATTTATGGTAGCTAATATGAAATTCAAGAACTTTCAATGATTTTACAAAAATTTCCTGATATTAAATACACAAGTAAATTTATCAGCACTTATGATATTGCTCGACAATATAAAGAAAGAAGTGATCAAATTAACATAAAAGATAAAATGGGCGATTATATGCGTCATTTTAGGTTATCGTTAATGCTGTTGATATTATTTGTATTAATATTAATATTTATTGTGTAATATAGGTTCCAACTAGTGATGCCTGACGAAACCATGTGATGCTAATTGTCACATGCCATTACTTATAAAAAAAACTAAATAGATTGTTGATTTTTATATATTGTACCACGTGACAATTAGCATCACATGGTTTCGTCAGGCATCACTAGTTCCAACCCTGCTAAGTTGGAAATTTCGGAATGTTAAATTTTTAAATTATAAGCTCTTAGCCACGTACTAGACTTAGGGTCTACTATAGGTATTAAATTGGTAAAATGTAAGAGACCAAGATCTTTTATATAGCAGTTTACAGTATATTTCTTTTCTAATACTTCTGGTAAGTTTTGTTTACAGATTTGAGTTATTCTTGCTTTGTTTATTAACTATAACAATTATTGGCTCTTCTTTGTTTTTTTATTTTTATTTATGATCCAGTACTAACTTTATTGCGTTCAGGTTTTAAGATTCTTCTTGAGTTTCAAATATAGAAGAGAATTTCAGAAAATATATTGTTTAGAATCACTAGGTAATTCAGATTTCTTGTTAGTTCTGAACTATAGGTAAGGTAATAATATATATTAATATTAAAGTACTGTTATCATATTGTATTTTATTTTCAAAAAAAAATCTTTATTATGTACTATATACTACATTTATTAAAAAAATAATTTATATATACAAATTATAAAAATATTCAATTTGGGATATTCAAAGCAATCAAGTTTATTATAGTCAAAGTTTAGTAATTATCAATATCAATATTTGGATATATAGTCAGTTTATCTAACTCTGCCTGTTTAATATCTATTTGGTTATATTCTTTATCATCTTCAAGAACAATATCTTCATGACTACCTTTAAGAGCTTTATGCAAATATTTTTTCTATAAAAACAATTACTGTATAAGCTTAAAATAATGTCTATAAGCATTATTTTGAAAATTGAGATCTTCAAAATAGTATATGTAGTATTGAATTAATGCTCATATGCGTCCTGAATTAATACATATCTCTTGTAAAAAAAATAAAAAGTAAAAGGTGCACTGGAACTAGATCTACTGAGTAAATCTTTTTTTGTACTTTAACAAAGTTGTTCTCTATACTGAGATGATTTTAACCATATAAAATTATTAAAAATATTAGATCGTCAACAAATATTTTAAAAATTTTGAAGAATCATTGCAAATGATCTACTGGACCATTTTTAATAATTTTACTATTATTAAAATTATCTTAGTCTGGAGAACATCTTTTGTTAAAGTAAAAGGATGATTTACTTAGTATCAAATCTAGTTCTGGTCACTTTTTATTTCTTACCAATGGTAATTATTATTAAAAGGTAATTATTTAATCTATATTTCAAAATAATGCACATGTATATACTCTAAATAATATACAGATCAATTAATTAACATATATATGGGTGTAATTTTATGCTTATACAGTATTAGAATAAATATTAAAAATTTGTATTACTCTATAATAAATATGAATTTTAGATTGTTATATAAGTTTAGCTGCTTTGTTCGCAAAATTTAGAATTATCTATATAAAATATATAAATTATTTTTTTAAACTAAAAATCTATTGCTACAATTCCAATCTACTTTGTTCTTGCAATGACTAATAATATATCTGTGCTATTTCTTGTATATTCTATTAATATCTCTATGCAAATATGCATGTTTGTTGTTTTATTTTTTTCTAATCTTTATATAAGATCATTTGCGAAGTATAATCCTCTCAATTATAAGATCACTGTACTGTACTGCAGCAACAAAATCTAAATTTTTATAATATAAGATTCTTGGACTGCTACTTATAGCTGTGAAGTCTCATCTAAAGTCTTTATACTACTACTACTACTGCAAGTCTAAGGTTTTATACTGCTACTATAGTAGCAATACCTAATTTTTTTTTTATATGCTATTTGCAACTGCAAAGTTTAATTTTTCACAAAATCATTATAGCTACAAGACTAATATTTTTTTACCATAAGATTGTTGCAACCACAAGATCAGATTCTTTTTGACAAAAAAAATACTTGTATTTCTATTAGATCTGTAGAGTGTAATATTTATATAAGGTTTTTATATTATTACTATAGCAAGGAAGCCTAATTTTTTTTATAAGATTCTTGTACTACTACTGCAGTCTTGGTGTCTAGTTTTTATATAAGATCATTGCACTGTTGTTTGCAACTACAAAGTCTGAGCTTTTTTTTACTATAAAGTTTTTGCACTATTACTATAGCTGTCTAAATTTTCAATATAGAGTCTTTGTATTTGCTACTGCTAGGTCTAATTTCTTTTTTTTTCTTTTTCTAACATAAGATCTTTTGTATCCTATTAGTAGCAGAACCTAATCCTTTACACCTAATATTCACAAGACTATTGTACTGCTATTTGCAATTACAAAGCCCAAGTCTTTTTTAATACAAAGTTTTTGTACTGCTATAGTAGATATGAAATCTAATATTTTATACAAGGCTTTTGCACTGTTACTGCTACTGTGAGATCTAATTTAATTTTTTTTTTTAATGATTTATTTAAAGTTGCAAATAGCATATAAAAAAAAAAATTAGGTATTGCTACTCTAGTAGGAGTATAA